AGGAGATGGACTCGACTCGGAACTATCTATTTTCACAGAGACAAGCTGATGTGACGGCACGTTTAGCAAAGGTTGAGATATACGGCGATGATTCAGTTAACAGTAGAATGGATACGAGAGGATTAAGGTGTCGAAAGTAGTCAACATACTTCTTGTTAGTAGTGTAAATAAACAAATCAAGCAAATCTGAGGCGTCTGCCTTAACCCCCAATCACCTCATACATCAATACTTATACCTGAACTCCTTATTCTCGCGATCAGTAAGGTCCGCAAACTCAACGTCCCTAACATGCTCAACACCAGTAGCAGCAGCAGCAGCATCCCTCGACTTGTTCTGCCAGCGATAATAAAACAACAGCGCAACCGCAGCCGCAATAGCGACAGAATCCACAACGACGATCGAGAGTTTAGCCGGCAGGTACAGAGGAGCGTCTTTATCGCGGAACGTCAGTGGACCGAGAATGTTTCCCTGTGAAAATAGATAGTTCCGAGTCGAGTCCATCTCCTAAGGTAGTACTTTTGTGTTTATGGCTTTATGTCTAATTGGCAAGGAGAAGATTCGATGAACGAGAGTCGCTGATTCTGACAGACAACCCCCGATAACAGTAGTACATTTGCGGTTTATACGGCATTTCAGCAAAAACACGGTTCGGGATCAAATGTAGCACTTCTGATGCTTTTTGGTATGAGATAGAGAGAGAGAGGGGGGGAGAGAGAGAGAGGGAGAAATCAACAGCAACAACAACTCTCGGCGGCACGATGCAATCGAAAATACTCGAGGACCTAAGGTAGCACGCTTCGAGAAACGTGGCGGTTTTTGTCATTCGGTGTTATCTCCACTTGGTTCTATTCTTCAAGATCTCTCCTCGGCATCACAAGTTAACTAGCTCTCACCTGCAAGCCCGGTCTATTGAGAGACTAGCACTTGTCTGTTGTATTCCTAGAGTGTCTCACTGGCACTTGTGTCTCTCGAATGCCTTCAAAGTCTTCGATAGCACCTTGCTTTGATGATATTAAGGTTTGAGGACACTGATGACCAACTTCGACAACTGGATTCGCAAACCGCAACTCACGTGGCAGACCAAACCTAGTAAACAAAGTAAGAAATCGTTAAAGTCGTAATTTCTGTAGGCCGTCACTTGATGATATATACTTGAGGCATGAACTCATCTTTTCTCCTAGGGGTGGAGTGCGTAGAGGCGTTGTTGCGGAGGCTGTTAAGATGGTTATTGCCAAGGGCGGTGTTGGCGAGGAGGTCCTGGGTGGGTTGGAGGGTGTGGAGACTTGATTGAGATGAGTTTCCTACGCTTTTTGCAAAATCTTGACGATTGAGAGACCGCCGCCACTTGCGTTCTTGCAAGTCTGGATTCGAAAGTGCTAGGCTGCAGATTTGTTCGCAGTGCCCTTCGACCGGGAATACAACAGACAAGTGCTAGTCTC